GTTATTCTATTATTTCCACCATTCTATTATTTTATTTATTTTTTTCTCTTTAAATTTTTCATCGACATTCTGAGATGCATTTTGCATTTGATTGCAGTTTGATGTCTTCCTCATAAAGACTATGCAGGTGCGATTGCCATAATCTCACAGCTGCACAGCTACTAAGTGCAAGTTCTACAGGAGACCAATAAGCACACGAGATCAAGAATTTCTTCTTCAGTTGAATTTAAATGTTTCATTTGAAATTTGAAAAATAAAAAATAAACAACCAGATGTGAATGAATGATAACATTCTCATTCAATGATAATATTCACAACAGTACATGAACTACAAACGAAACAAAAAAAGAAATAAACTGAGATCACGCGCAAATACATTGAAAATGACCTCAAGGAGGTGGAAATTCAACAATTTCTTGGGAGGCAAAAAAATATATATTATATTATATTATATTAAATTTGACAACAACTGCAATAACCTTTATGAATAATAAGGTTGAAAATAATGGATAATTGTTCAGAAAGAACACATTTGAGCTACGTCTTAAATCTAAGCCTTATTATGTTTAATACTTTTCGTTATGGGCAGGCATTTAGTATGATGACTTATACCGATTAGGATATCGAAAATATTTTAAAAATATTTTGAATAGCAGTATTATTGTTTAAAATATTTTCAAAATATTTTGAAAATACTTACCAATGCATTACTGTCTTTTAAAATGTTTTTAAAATATATAATAAATATTTTGAATATAAATATTATATGTACTGATACTTTAAAAATACTCTCACGATATAAATTTTTACAGTATTGAAATACAAATATTTTGAAAATATTTTTATGATGTTTTGGGTAAACATATTATTTTTAAAAATACTAAATGATGATTCTTTAAATATTTTCTAAAAAAATAATTTTGATTATAATATTATCAAAATATTGTCAGTATTGTGTAAATATTGCGACAGTACTGACAATATTTGCCCAATATTGTAAAAATATTATGTCTTATCTGGGTATGCAAATAGGAGGACTCTGCACTTAGACAACATCGCACGGACGGGAACGCAACCGCCGCGCCAGTTTTTCTATCCGTGCGTTTGAGTCTCTGAGGAGATCCTCTGCCATGCATATTGTTTAGACATTAGGGGCAGTTGCGTGTCGTGCTTTGCGATATATAGATTGATCTGCCATTTAAGCCTATGGAAAAGGATCGATAGACAGGGTGTTCGCAATGAACACCTTACTATAATATCATTAATGGGAAAATATCGATAATCGACCATTCACGCCTCGCCACTTATTAGGGGCCGTCCAAAAAAGACGCCATGTAAAGAGGAAGGGCCTCATTGGAGGAAAGGGGGTCTGAGTCTGCCTGAGACCCCTATTAAAGGAGGCTGGGAGGGGAGAAGGGAGCCAAAAGAGATTCTCCAGCTGGGATGGTTCGAAAATAAAAAGACAAATTAACAAAAAATCAGAAATTATTAATACAACAATATAATTTCTTAGATAACAAATTCATTAATAATTCATAATTATATAAAGTAACCGATAACAGTAACAATAAAACTTCATGAATATCGAAACAAATAAAAAGAACTATAAAAAGTCACAGAAGGAAAGATAGTTTTGAGGAAAAATAAATCTCAGCGAGAAATAGCAAAATGCAGTTTTTGTGAGGCAAGAGATCAACTCTTGAAAACGCTCATACCTTATTCTGAATATTCGACTTCAATTTTCAATAGTCATAGAAAATGTCCTCATTTAGAAAAGTTGGAAAGCAGTCAACGATGACGTATCATGTGTTAAAAAAAAGTTTACAAACTTGACTTGTATGAGTAATTATCTAAATATACCATTCGTTCTGCTCTTCAGTTCCTCTGAGAAACAATTTTGCCGTTCTTTCAATTTGTAATTCGTTTCAGTTCTCAGAAAATGAATATTTTATTTTTGATTAAGGAACGGAGTGAAATAAAATTGGATAAAAAAATTAACGCGACCTAGCTTTATACCGGCTCATCAGGTCGTTTTCCAGAAGAATGGAAATGAAGTTTGCTTCCACATTCAAATAATAGAATTTTAGTTGGTTGGAGACGAGGGCATACGAGACAAACGCTTCATTCCACTTATGATTAATTATTTTAACTTTAGGTAAGAAAAATTGATCTAGTGTGATGATCAAGCATGAAAACCTACTGCAATCTTTTGGAAAAAACTACAACTTAATTATGAAGTAAAATGCAAGTTTAAAAACACTCATGGAGTCTAAGACTTCATAACTCGTCGCTACTGTAAACTCAAGCTATGATTATGTAAAAAAAAAAAAAAAAAAAAAAAAAAAAAAAAAAAAAAACAGTGAAAATGGAATACCATATTAGTAAAAAAAAATTGAATTCGAAAATAAATGCAATGTTTCGAAACACATAAAAAATATTGAAAATAGCAGAACACGATCGTTGAAAATCAATCCAACTCTTCTACTCAGGTGAACTTTTCTACTTCAAGTGTTACGTCGCCTTTGTTTTCGCAGGAACACAATCATCAGAACAGTGGTGATTATCGCGGGTTGGCAGCCTTGTTTTCCGCCATTTAAATCTCCGTGAGAAATCGACTTCGGTGGGCAGCCTGCTTCCACAATAATCGATTGTTTCACATACAATTAAATGGGCCAAGCCCATTGTTGCCAACTTGCCAGAACTCTGCATCGGGAGAGGGCTCCCGGCGTAGTTTTCAATTAAAATAATTTACATAAATTACATATCTACAATTCATATTTAATTCGTCAATTACAATACAAATTAATTGCTACAGTTCAACAATGATACTTTAAGGCTAGAAATAATCACGATTGCCTTTTCAAGTTCCGCGCTCTGGAGGAAAATTTTAGCTGGACATCGGTTCCTCGCAGGGAACCTTCGGAACCAAATCAACTTCTGTTACAATTATGTAATTATCGTAGGAGCTTGATGAATTCTTTTTCTGTATTCGCGTGACTTCATAGCCCTTTGATTGATTGAGTTGCAACCGATTTGAACCCAAGATTTTGTATCATGAAAATCGATTCACAAAAAATAGAGCTATCGCAGATGATTGATCGAGACTTTCTGTGGAAAATCAACTAATGTAAATGCTGGGATAAGATATACCAAAAAATGATCTGGTGGAGGAGGGGGGGGGGGCTTAACTTATCCTTCTCCTTTTCTCTCTCTCAGCTTCGTGTGTTGATCTAAAATATCGACGCCCTCCTGGTATAAGGGCGTTACTACACTTCGAGATTAACCCTAGTCCATATGACTCAATACTCTCTCGGGCTTATCTCCAGGTGTAGTTACGCCCTTCTGTCAGCCAAGCGACGATATGTTCGATTTGATTGCATCTTCTTACAACATACCAATTTTTCATCAATCTCTTTGATAATTTAGTTTACGAGTATGATCCATCTGAGTTTAAAAGAGTAAATCCTTCGTCAAAAGCATGAGTTTGATGTCTATTCAGCAAATAATTGGTTCGTACGTACGTTCGTTTTGGGTATAAATTTTTCGCTTTTTTTATCTTTTTTTGATATGCAAAGGGTCCATCAGAATATCTTTTGCTTAGGATTATGAAAGTAAAAAGAGCCAATAAGTTACGTTACCTATGCAAGTTCTCTTGTGCTGAATTTTTTCTCTCCGAAGGGAAATTAGTTTGAAATTCGTCTCTTATAGCTGCAATACCTACTGATGAAGTTTTACGATTTTTTGGAAGACTTTTGAACGAAAAATATAAAATTGAGCGCATTTAAATCATTTCAGAAGCTCAAGACGTCTCAAGACTCAAAATCTGTCACCCTCTCAGTATTTACAAGTCCCTCCGCGTGGTTTATTCCTCCGGATATTGTTCAGTTAAACAACCACTGTCAAAAATTTATATTCCATAGCATCGAACATCAGTCTATGAATGATATTAGAATTACATTAGAATAGCTGTGCTTCGTTTTAAAATTGTGCATGAATGATGTTTGAACTGCTGTCAAATAGTTTTAAATGCAATTTAGGAGGCAGTGTTCTGAATTAAAATCAATCTTAAAATTGTAGTGTGCATTTGGTAAAGGATGCTGAGGCTTAAAAATGGAAACAAAGAATGACACATAATCAATGACTGACTGCTTTCTTTCGTTGCGGGTTTTCGTCCAGGTGAGAAAGTATTTTTATGATGTTGTTACAATAGGAATGTATGGATTCGATCGACATGAATCGATCAAAAATAGAAACATGAACCGATTGACGTGATTGGATCGACAAAATTTGATAGATTCACAGATTTGTCGGTCGATTCACGGGTTTGTCGATTGATTCACGTTTTTATTATCTGATCGATTCATGTCGATCGAATCCAGATCCGTCATTACAATGTTTGCGATATCCGCAAGTATCAATACAGTGTATACGCTCGTGGTGGTTTAAACTGTCCTCTTAAGTGAGAAAGACTTAATGTAAATATTGCAGAGAGTGTTAGTTATTAGAAGCATTCAAAAATATTAAATGGATTTTAATAAAAGGAGCATGCCACCAAATAATGTGTTCAGGAATCACAATCATCTTTTAGGTTTTATATGAAACAAGGTATCTGAAAAATAAATTATTAAACATTTAATCTCGTAATCACAAAGCATCTTCAAAACATTGAGCAAGCAACTAGTTTCATCGTATCATTTTGAATTCATATCACAAGCACACTGAAATGCACTTTATTCCTCTATCGTATCTCTAAACTACTTTATTTTTTGGATAAGCTTTCATTGTGCATTTTAAAACTTATTTGAACAGGTCAAGTTTTATTTGAAAAAAAAAAAAAAAAAATATATGGGATCTAATGATGCATTCGCGGAAACGATGGAAATATGATATATATCTGTATTCGTTATTCTTTAGACAAAGGAACATACGTCCATCTCGAGGTCGCGACTATAACTCAAACAAATCAAATGTTTCTAAATACATATGACTGTATATTTTCTGTCCAAAACGGTGCCAATTTTTTTCAAATAATGAGAGAAAAAGTTAGTGTTTTCAGTTAAAAACACTCAACTGTAAACTTGGAAATTGCCAATAGAAATTTTGCAACGTTGGAATCCAGTTACGTTCTTCCGTTCAGAAAACGACTATTACGCAATGCCGTCTGTGTGTATGGGTATTTACCTACACGAGATAGCATCTCTAAAAAAAAAACAATCAAAAGTTGAAAGACAAGCATCAAATACAGTCGGAAAAAAAGAAAGAGAAAATACCTAACATTTCGTCAAAGAGAAAATACATTCGACGAAGTATATATTTAGGGGTCTTCACTGAGGAGGGTGCTCCGGAAATTTGTGCAAACGATTTTACAACAAAGTAAATGTACATAATTATAACAAGGACTTCAATGTCTTACACAAACTTCTGCTCGAGACGATGTGACGTCTCTTTCATGATACATTTAAAGAGAATTATTCACCGGCAAGAAAGTTTGCAAATCAAATCGAAGGGAAACAACAGATTCAGTTCATTCATCCGAACATCATTATTATTACTTTATTGGTTATTCATCTTTAAATTATTCTTCGTGTGATTTCCAAGCAGTCTCGGTGAGTCCATGGAGGTTCGAATAGTGAATGCAATTTCTCAGGTTCAACTAGCATCAAATATATTTTTTAGAATTTCACATTATTTTCTGTTAAATTTTTAAGGAACTTTAGTTATACTGAAGATTGCTAATGGAATGAAAATTTAAAGAAGGAAAAACATATCATCCAGAGACGACGTGACAGTCCTCCACGTGTACCAGTGCCGCTCTCTGTAAGAAACAATTTGGCTGGGAAGCATCCTTTTTTAAGTTGATGAGAAGCGATCCGAGCGATGAAATTTTAAGCCAGTTCTAGAACCGGTTCCACTTTTGCAACCAATGTAAGCATCTTCACTGGAGCCGTTCCTTTATTTCATGATTTGGAACTAGTTCCAAAAATTAGCTGTGGTTCTCATTTACGGCATGCAAATCAACTAGGAGCGGCACACGGTATATCGAGTCCACCAGAGAGGTCGGACATGAAAATTCTCGAGTAAAACCGCAAACTGTGGTGTTTGATTCTTTACATATCTGTATGTGATTTTTGAAACCTAACCTTATCCAGCGATCCATTAGCTGTGTCCGGGGGTCTGTTTCTTGTCTACTGGAATACGGGAATCGTGGCACTCGCAGCTGCAGTCCTCCGGGTTTACATAGTTATAAACGGTTGTCGACCCTGCCCCCGATCCCGTTCCTGCGGCAGAGTTGACGTTGTGACTGTGGTTGCGACTCCGGCTACGACTCCTGGAAGCCCCGGTGGCCGGCGAGTGGCGGGCCGGGAGCGTGGTGATCTTCTTGGGCGAGCGCCGCCTCTCGGCCATCTCCTCGAAGGAGACCCATGGAGCGGGGGAAGGGATGGGGGGCGCCGACATGGGCGCCGGTCGCGTAGGGTGGAATGTGGACATGCGTGGCGGGAGGGGTGGTGGTGACGTGGAGGCGCTTGAGGCGCGCCGAGAATTGCTCTGTACTTGCTCGGCTAGTTCCTGCCAGGAGCTTGGCTGCGACGGGGACCGCACCCTCACTTTCTCGCACGAGAGGTCCACCCTGCGAAACAAAGAACAATCCTTAGATTTTTTACTCTTAAAACATTTATGAACACATGCATGAACATTTTATGAAGACATACTAAGTATAAAGGTGTGTACTGATGATGAAAGTCGTTACGCAGAGGAAAATTTCCCAGAGGACTTATGGGAACACACTATGAATAATCCCCCAACGGACTTCTTTTCTGGACAATCAGAGTTCCTGTAATCCTGACGGGATGCTGGTTGTCGTTATAAGAATTCTATCGGAACAATGAGCGTGCTGGTTGTCTCGAAAAGAAAGCCGTTGAAGGAATTTTAACAGGAAGATTTTTCTCCGCAAATACACATATTACCCCAATGGCGGCGTTCAAAGATATCCCCCGTTATTTCATTTTGTTAAAGTGAAACCAACACTGGTATTGTTGGAAACGTTTACCTAATGTTTTGTGCGAGATAAAGAAAAGTCAGAAGAATTCCAAGGAATAATAATTATTGATTTTCTTTGGAAAAAATAAAGGATCCCAAATCAAGATACGTGTTCTGTACCTTTTATAATACTTATGTGAGGCAAGGCAAGATTTAAGTACTGAAGAGTGCATATGGATCGTTATAATAAAAAAATCCGAATGCTCGTTGCAACTCTTAAAATTTTCGACTTCTCTCGAAAGGACATGAACACATCCTTGATGTTCTCCGAGAATAATTTTTGAATCAATGGTAAATGACAATTTCAATTAAGGCTTAAGAATTGGTTTGAATGTTTGAATTTTTCACTAGAACGGCATTGACGAATTACTTCTGAAATTAATCTGTTTAAAGTAAAAAATCTACATGCGACTATATTAAAATAAACAATCGGTAAACTCTTCTGTCCGTAGCACTGACATTGAAGTTCGCAATATCCATTGACATCGATGAAGCATGCTGATAGTAGAAAGAAGGGTTTTAAATATGTGATGCAGAAGCTACTAACCATTGACCCACAAGAAATATTATTTTATTGCTGATTTATACACATAAAGTCTTACAACACAAGCAGCAATGGGGATCTGGACATCACATTTAAGGCTACTCAATTTATTTTTCGTGAATCATTTTAAAAATTATTTTCGTCCGTATTACACGTTTTCTGCTAAACTATGAATTGCAAAGCTTTGTATTTACATTTAAAGCAGGAAGACAGCACATTATATACAGAGACAGACAAGATATGTAAATGACACTGTATAATTTTCATTATAACAGTAAAGACGCACCGCATCGTTCATCATCATTTTCTCGCAAAAAATGGTAGGATCCTAGTTTTTCATTTTAATACACTTGTATAAATATCAGAGTAATACATCGAGTAGGTATATTCATAAGCGGAGCATACAGCTCCATACAGCTGCTGGGTCTTGTGAACCCATCAAACTGCTCTATCGTCAGTGGCGATTCTTGAAAGTTGGCAACGCTGTTTTTCCACTATTTAAATGTATATAAAACAATTGATTCGAGGAGAGGCAGCTTGCCTCACCTAAAATCGATATTTTAAATGGATTTAAATGGAGGAAAAACGGTGTTGCCAACTTGCAAAATCGCCACTGTCTGTCGTAGAACTAAGGGTGGTGAGGCCTTACCCGGGGAGAACGATGAGTAATTTGTCAGGCATCGGTGAGGTGATGGGTGAGCTGGAGGCACAGAACATGTCCAGTGAGGCGGGGGTCAGGGGGGTCGTTGAGCGGGGGCGGTCGATCGGGCACGTTTTCACCAAGTCGCCCGCTCTCTGTTTCACGGGAACGATTGGCAGTCCGACAGACCTGCATCATCCCAAACGGGTCCCAGTTAATGACAAAGACAGCCTCTCGGCTATTAAAACCCAACTCGCCGTCAGGTTCCGCTATTCAGTTCACCGGCGTTCGAAAATAGAAATTGTTTCTTGTACAAGCCCATAAAATGGATGCATTTCAGCAATATGAACTTTGGGAGTTTCAGCAAAGCCCAACGTGCGATGCTGTCTTACTAAAGGAAAATGGGGCATCTAGTGGCGTGGCGTGCTTTGCGATATATCAATTGGTGTGTCGTTTAAACCTATGGAAAAGGATCGATAAACAGGGTGTTTGCAACGAACACCTTAATTATCGATTCTTTTTCTGTAGCTAAAAATGCCAGATGGATTAATTTATTTCAAAGCACGCCCCGCCGCCCCACCACTGCTTGGGACTAAAAATTAGTGTGCGGCTGCTTACACATCGATGACTTCAGTCGACAATCGTGTTCCTTCATCTCAAATTCTCCGATTATGTTTTATTTTTTCACATATAAACTAACAAACATAACTGATATTTCCTTTTAAAATTGTTTTGTCAAAATGTTTGAATGAGCGGAGTTACAAAGACAACTACCTAATGATTATAGTTTCCTTTATAAAGTAATTAACCACGTCCAGTGATTTTGTAACGGCACAATCGGAGTTACCTATGCATTTTTTTATATGTCACCCATCGGTTCAGTATGATTGTCTGGTGTCTTGTGGACACTGCATAAGACTTTCTAACCATGTTCCTTCCAAACCCTGGTAAAAATTGGCAGTAGAATCTGTGTTCCAAAATACCATAGATCTACAGCCGGCTGTAAGATTTCCAATAGCTTCTATAGCCGGCAACACAATTTCTTATAGCCTTTTATAGCCGATGGCGATTAATCAACAGCCTGGCGATAAAGTGTATGCTAAACCTTACTAATTACGGATGCTAGGACTTAGTGAGTTTGGACTACCCCTCTCTTTTTGGGCCGCAGTATCTTGATTTAATTTGCGAGGAAAGCTCCGTACTTTTGAAGGATGCCTGCCATTCCTAATATGTTGGAGCGTCTTCAATTTCGTATGATACTGTGCAATACCTTTGGTGTGAAAAAGCTGCTTCAAGCGCCGCGGTACGCTGCGGCGCGGCGCGGCGCGGCGGGCGGGCAGCCAGCGCTGAACGCGCATTGGCGCCTTCAAACCTAACAGGGATACTTCACGCATTGCGCAATGCGTGAAGTATCCCTGTTAGGTTTGTAGGCGTCAGTGCGCCGCCGCTTCGCTTTGTGTTAGGCTCTAATATTTAATCTCGCTGCGGAGTCAGCGTTTTTCAACTCATGACTTTGAATGTTTGCACACTCTGTATGGATTATTCTCATTTTAATTGATGAAAAAAAATATGTAGTAAAGGAAAATATAAGGTGCGTTTTGTAAATATTAAAGTGATTTCGTACAAACTTAAGGATTTACAAAGCACAAGAATTTCTACACAATTTTTTATAGCCTTTTATAGCCGATGGCGAAAAAGCAACAGCCAGGCGATAAAGTGTAAAGCCCGGCGATAGGAACTATAGCCCGGCTGCATAATTTTTTATCGCTTCGTGTAGCCCAGCCGTATGATTTTTTCCACTTTCTACAGCCAGCTATATGATTTTCTATCGCTCTCTTCAGTCGGCTGTAAGAACTATGGTATTTTGAAACGCAGCTCCTATCGCCAATTTTTACTAGGGAATACAATGAGTGTTACATATGGATGGATATACATGACAGTCTATCAAAACTTAATTTAGAAAGTATCAATTCGATTCAAACATTTTAAGCGACGGTAAAATTTTGAACATTCCCTAAACTCCACATGTAAATAAGAATAGAAATAATGTCATGAAACGTAGGGTTTCCGGCAGTCCAAAGTAGTTGATAAATAAAACCAAAGTATGAAATTATTTGTTGCCTCCTTCTTTTTGGGAAATATTTTATTTGATGTAAAATCGGATTTTCATCGGTCGACACCCTCCTCTCTTATGGTCAAACAGGTCTCCTGATCTCGGGGAAAATAAGAATTGAGAAGGCCGCGTTTGTTTTTGATCGAACTCAATTCACCTTGAGGTAATCAACTATCGTTCCAGATGGATCTGTTAATTGGTGGTGGCCCGCGAATTCAGCCGGATCAATGCCGTTTTTTGACCAAAATATGTCAACACTCCTCCTGTTTTCTTCTCCTGCGGGAGGGGGAGGGTCTTTGATTTCTCGAGTAGTTTCACGGATCAGTGGGTCACGTGCATTGGGAACTACGCTAGACGAGAAATTGGGCGGTGTGACCGGATCAGATGACACTCAAATGGTGATTTGTCATTATTACCAGTGCGTATTATCCTAACTTCACTAGTTAAAGTTGTTGGATTCCGCTCAGTCGTTTTACACTTGTGGAATGATATTTATTGCTATTATTTTAAAACTGAATGGTAGCCATAGGCACTGACTCCTTAATCTTCCCCGATTTTGACACTTTCGCAACGAGATCAACATCCTCGATTGGACTTCAATTTGCAATTAAGAGCTATTATTTCTGGCTCATCCGAAAAAAACTCTTATGTGCATAGGGAAACTAATGGCACTTACGTTGTTTTTTAACTGAGCTGGAATTTATAGTTCCTAAGTGCAAAATGTGGTCCAATTATTTTGAGTAGGTAAAGTTCACAGGAGACGATCTCATTTTATTCATTTTTATTTTAAAGAATAGATCACTAAATCAAGGGAGAATTAAATCACAAGTCATGTTCGTCTGTTATAATTTCATGCAAACTACGTATGACTCATTGAACATGTCTAAAATTAACTTGCAAATCAGTATTAGTTTTCATTGTTTTTTTACTTGTTTTTTTAATTGTTTTTTACTTGTTTTTATAAATAGTTCATTCAAATGTTCCGCCCGCTAAAACACCAAAATCAACGTAAATCAAATCGGTCATTGAAAGCAAACTTGTCTTTTCGAAAATGAACGTAGAGTTGGGCTGTGCCAAGAATCCTTTTTTCGCACTTTCTCTGTTAAGTTGTCAAGCTAAGTTTGGCATACTGAGAAAATTATTCCATGGTGAAAAAACATTGTTTCGATGCTCAAATCGATTGCAGTAGGTTTTCATTTTTTGGCGAACTGGAAGTTTGAATTTACGAACATAAAAAAATCCGATCCCTCATTCACGAGTATTAGGTACCTAGTTGGCTAATTGTAATTTGTCCACCATTATCCTGCAAAACCGGTCATGTTTAACGAATTCAGGGATTTTTCAGCACAGGAGGATGGGGTAAAAAACACGAGGATAAAGGAGCGAGAAGTCTCCTGAAATGAGCATGCACTAAGGACACGTTTAACTACATTGGCAACGCAGAGCTTTGAGCTCGAAAGTTTGGAACTTTCCGATTGAGACGGTGAACGCTATCTACTTGCCTACTTAAGTACGAATAAGGACCGCCAAGCAGGTTTACGTTATTTTCTCGTGGTTCACTGCTTCAACTCTAAGGCTATCAACTTTTCTGCGCGTACCGAGTGCTCTGTCTTTTCAAGTCAAAATGTCGCCAAATTATAGCTTCAGAACCAACTGGAGCGACAAAAAGAGTGGAGTTACACGATGTTGGTCTAATAAATTATTTTGGGAAAGACCGTTGGATCATCGAAATTAATGGCTGTTTTTAGGTCATTTTTTCTTAATTACATTATTTTAAACCGAGGAAAGAAATTTCATAATTTGGAAAAATTATCAAAAATAATGACTATTTTGAGAGTCATTTTTCGTTATAACCACGTAATTTTATTTGAAGAAGTATTAGAGAATTTTGAACGTTAGCCTTTGAGCAAATGATCAATTATTATAGCATTCCATTTGTTCAACCCTCTCCTAGTCTACAGGCAAATATATATACCAGCCTTCGTTCTTTTAAGTACTTATACAGTCGATTTCAATTTGTAAATAAAAAATATCCATTGTGTTGAAAGAGAAGGTTGTAATATAATTTGACTATTTTCTATTTCCTCTCGTAACTCAAATTCAGAAGTGTAAATGGCCGTAATTGCCGAGGCTTTGTCATAATATAAATAAAATTCTGACTTCCTTTTTTTTCCAGCGAGGAACTGCGTCCAAAACTTTCAACTTGAAAAGTCAGAGGTCTCCTCAAGAAAAATCTAATTTACTATGTCTGCAAAGCGCAATCGAATGAACGCAGGAATAATCCTTACCTTTCAAGAGGAAGTGTTGTGGGTACGTAAGGGAGCTCGTCCTCCAGGGATTCAGGCTGATTGACCAAGCTCTTCTTCTCGATGTCATCACCGGCATCCTCCATTTTCAGATTAATTTCGCTGCCCGACTCAGAAGATTTCGACTTGGGTTCATCCGCGTCCTCCTTACTGGACTTAAGATCATCCCTTTCTTCCCTACTACTTTTTAAGTTGGGAGGCTCCTCTCTACTTTTCGTCCTTTCAGAGGACGCCGCTCTACTGCTCCCCCTTTCGGCGGACGCCTCTCTGCTAATCCTGCTTTCCAAACCCTCTATTTTACTCTTTAACCTTTCAGTCGATTCTTCCCTACTTCTCCTCCTTTCAGCGAATTCATCTCGAATCGGTGGAGACTCTGTTTTAGTTCTCATACACTCGAAGAATTCCTCCCTACTTTTCCTCCTATCGAAAGACTCGTCCCTACTTTTCCGCCTGTCAGAGGTTTCCTCCTTACTTTTCCTCGAATCGGCGGATTCCTCCCTACTATGTCTCGAATCGGAGGAATCTTCCCTGCTTTTCCTCGAATGTGAGTGTTCTTTCCTACTCCTCCTGGATTCCAGGGACTCCTCTTTGCTTTTCCTCCTTTCAGAGTGCTCGCCCCTGCTTTTCCTTCGTTCAGAGTGTTCTTCCCTACTTTTCCTCCTTTCGGAATGTTCCTCTCCTCGACTCCTGGAACTTTCTCGCCGTCGTCTATCCTCCGATTTCCCGCGTTTCGACCGCCGGAATTCCGAATCTCCAGACTCCGTTTCCTGGACTTGCGGCAGAACTTCTGGTTCCCCCACAGGCATGTCCACGGGTCCACCCGCGGGAGTTTCCGGTCTAACCTCCGGGACTTCCGTTTCCTGCATGGCGGGGAGCTCGTCCCTTTCCGGTAAGGTCGTGCTGTCGATTCGTTTCAGCTTCTCCATCGACTCGCGTTTGATTCTTTTGAGTTCGTTGCTCCTCGATCGCGTCAACGGTGACTCGGTGCTGGTTGACTCGGCGATTACTTTCCGCTCTACGATCGGTTCCTCGATTGGCTCCGTAAAATATTGTCCCTGAGATGTTTCCTCGCTGCTCCTTCTCGAATCGTGCCGTTTCAACTTTCCTGCAAAAAAACTGTCGACGTAATTAAACATTACTTTAGTTGGAGCACAGGTTTAATGCGCAACGTAACTTCGGCTGGCCAACTGAAAAACGCATTAAATCCGCAAATGCCCCCAGCAGATGTCTTAAAACCGAACTAAGGAACCGTTTACTTCATTTTTTTGGAATCGAACCTCCTACAATCCTACATTTAAGCGCATATTTATATTCAATGATTCCCCTCACCCACAGTTTCGCACCTGGAAAGCACACTCTATTACTCCATGTTTCTCGCTTTCTAGTCATGAATTGGATTTTTTGCAAGTAGGTGATGAGTCAGGAAGTTCTAAGTTCTATGAACTTAAATTTCTATCGGTGATTCCTTATTGATGGTAATAGTTGCAAAACACTATTTTGTTCGCAATGTTTCAAAATCTCCACGGTTGTCTTATTTTTTCAAGGGAAAACCAATAGACCTTTATTGCTCGATGGCATATTCTGCACATGAAAGATCATTCTTAACATGTCTGAAAAATAGATTTCGTCAGTTTTCCTTTAAAAAAATGGAATGTGACAAGAATCCGCGAGGGAGAATCTGTGAACGTCACAGATGGACTACATCTTGCAATTTGGAACTCCAATTTCTGGCGCAGTCTAAAAACAACGAGTGTACCATTAGTTTTCCTATGCACATAAGTGTTTTAATAGATGAGCCAAAAATTATAGTTCTGAATTACATGATGAAGTCCAGATTACTTTATGACTTTCAGCCCGGCACGGAAAGTAAGTTGCTCAGTAAGACCTTACCTAATGCATCTTCGGAATGAGTGACTATTTCAGCGGTGGTGGTAATATTCTGGCGACCCTTGTTCTCGTCGCCGGAGGCCATGGAGTCGCTGTTGGGTATAGAGGCGGGCGACTGGACGCTCGTGTCGGCTCGGTGGCCTGATTGACTCTTTGAAGGCGTTTCGAACTCAGATGCCGGCCGGATGTCACACTCCTCGGCTGGATTCGTGGAGCCGCAAATACTGACCGGCGCTTTGCCGTCACTGTCCGGCGAGTGCAGCGGGATGATGATCGTGTCCGCTGTATCGTTATACCGTTTCTGAAATGGCCAAGTATGATCATTCATTTAAATCAGGTGAAGGAATTAAACTTAGAATTAGGGCCGTAATTTGAACGAACAAGGAGGGGGAAAATCGGCGCTTGAGAGTGGCCTTAAGAGCATTGTATAAGTACAGTGCCCACTGTGAATTATGGTCCAACCTACTTTCTAGTCGTAGTCACAATGTTACTTTTCTAGTAATATTAATTTCGATCCCGCTAAAGATTAAGTATTGGCACCGCAACCTAAAAGGTGGCAATGAAATATAATAATAATTTCAGTGATTATCAAAGGGTCTTTCCACACATTTCTTCTACTTTACGTATCATTCATTATTTTCTACTACTTTACTTACATCATGAATTTCCGTAAATCAGTCAAAAAATAAAACTTTTAAATTTCGAGGTGCTCAATGCCCCAAGATTTGTGGTTCGACAGAGAGCAGTGGAGGTTAGGAGTCGTAGAGCGCAAGGGAGTGCCGTAAAGCGACCTATATGTATGTAAATTCTAAATTAATCAACACCATTGGGGTGTCATTAATTTGAGACAGACGGGTGGGGGAGAAATCTTCCCCATACATTTTAATGTTGACATCTTTCATATGAGCAATTTTGGTCAAGTTTGATTCATTTTAGAGAATTTTAGGAGATTTTTAAAATCTATCTCCCCTAATTCAATCCCCCCCCCCCCCGAACATCATTTGCCCCATCCCCGAGGCACACTGTAAAATAAGCGACTGTTTGCCGACCCCGTCAAATATTGATTTATACATCTGAACGTTTCAGCCTATAGAGGCATAACTCATTTGAAGGCTAAAGGGGAGGTAAATCGAATTTTGACTGTGCCAACATAGCCGATGGCTAGAACAATAGAGAATTCATAGCACTAACCGTTTGTGATTGTGATTGCGAATGGGAATGTAATTGTGATTGCTTGTAATTGAAGTCGGTGTTTGAGATAGAGGGTTCTATGCTAGGCGATCTAGATTTATTACTCCTTATGCTATTGCTTCTTTTAAAAATCCCAAAAATGGAAGATTTTCTCGATCGGGAGCCGCTATCTAAAATCAGATAAAAAATAGTCATCATTGTCACTTCATTGAAGTAGAAGATTTTCCGAAAGGCAATTAAACAAAAAAAACAGGCTGGCAGTACTCAACCCTTTCAGGATTGAAAAAGTTGTCCTGCCAGTATGAAAAATAGTAAATTATTTTAAGTGTCAGTAAAATTCTTTTTGTTATGAAGTGTAGCTACCTGACACAATTTTGTTTGTCGGTGGATCGTTTCTGTCTTTGAGAAACCTCGTCCCTATAAAATATGGGAATTAACTTATCTTCCTCGCGAAAAGGATTTGTTTAAGCGGCAATCATGAATGCATCACTCGGTTTCCAGAGGAAAATCCCTCTGTACCTTTTGAACCACCTTTCGATTCTTACAGGGCCCCAAAACTTTCGTTCCAGGGAACCGAAGTATTTAGTTAGAGTAACTGAAATTCGGTTCAAATTATAGAAATTCTCAGTTCAGAATGCTCCCTTTAGTTCCCTCAACCTAACTTTAGTTCATTAAAACGAAATATCCGACTATATGGACTAAAAAATGTTGCTCCATGATAAGAGCGAATTATTTTTTCACCGTAGTTGCGGGACATACCTGATTTAGCTCTGCATCCCTTGGCGGACTCAGAGTTCCTACGGAAGAAGTTATACTTGCTGGAAGGGCTGGGCGTCCTGGTGGCCTCCCTGAGCTGGGACATGCTCCTGGCCGGCCTCGAGTCCGCATAATTATTCAAATCCAGCGTGTAGACCTTAGCACCACTCTCGATGTCCAACGAATAGAGCGGTATAGACGGGAGGCTCCTGATCTCGGAGCCGGCCGCGTAGTTGACCACCCTCAGACGATTACTGTCCTCATCGTCGTCGTCGCCGGCGTGGAGGGGGATGATCTTCACCAGCGGCTCGTTGTCCCTGCTCTCTCGGCGGCTGTCGCGGCTTCGGTCCCTGCTGTCCCGGCTACGATCCCTGCTATCCCGGCTTCGATCCCGGCTGGGTGCTCGGAGTGGCTCGGCGTCGAGTTCGGGGGTTCGAGATCGCCGGGATTGGAGGGAGGGTGCCGGGCTGATGTGTTGCGTCCGGCTAGGGGGTGTCCAGCCGGGCGGGTCCTCGTGGAGGGAGATGAAGATTTGGGTTTTGTTGTCGATTTCCATTGTTGTTTTCTTTTCCCCTGCGACAGAGAGTGGAACGTTAGGTTATTGACCCTAGTCGGATTGAGGCTTGTTATTGTTGGATGGAATGGAGATGTTGCATGTGTGAGGAATTTGCGATTTGACTGTTGATTCTTATGTAAAAGTTCGCAAGAAATACGATGATGCCACTGGTTTTCTTTGAAATAAACTCCCAAGCTCAAAAAAAGCTGTCAAGTTGAGGCCAAAATGGAGGGGATGTCCCACGCTATCCTGAGATCCCACCTCTACATCAAAGACAAACTCTCCATGCAAAGATAGGGAGCAAATACATTGGCAGGGTTGCCGTGTTTTAAGTTTTACAGTTCCCAAATAAAATGGCAGCCCTGTCAATGCATTTGCTCCCTATCTTTGCATGGAGCGTTTGTCTTGATGTAGAGATGGACTCTCAGGGTAGCGTGGGATATCCCCTCCATTTTGGCCTCAACTAGAGAGCTTTTTTTGAGGTTGAGTTTTGATTTCAGAGAAAACCAGTGGCACCATCGTGTTTCTCGCGAACTTTTACATATGAATCAACAGTCAAATCGCAAATTCCTCACACATGCAACATCTCCATTGAGCGATCGATTCGTACCTACACGAGGAGTTTTGGTCAAAATAAAAATACGTGTTCGCAATAGCTTGATTCATGATTAATATCAGGGGGGACTCATTAGAAATTAGAAAACGAAGAATTAGAAGAAGAGGGAGAAAGGGCGAGGGAGAGGAGGGAAAACAGAGAAAGAAAATAAGATGAGGAGGAAGATGGTGATTCTATGTGATCTAGTGACGAGATTCGCCACTAGGTTGCGCTGCTATGCGGTTTGTGTCTTTGAGGAGGAATACTTATCGTTAAGTCCAAATTAATTCAAGAAACTGATTCATAACGTGCAGCAGCATTAATACTGAGTAGAATGACATCAAATTTGCGCAGAATCATTGTAAATTTATACCTGATACTACGATAACGGACGTCGTCCATTGACTCAATGTGCGAGAAAGAGAAATAATATAGTATATCGCTATAGCGCTCTAACATATAGCGCTATCTTTCTCTAACATCGATTGATTATTTCGATTGATTGATTAACATTACTTTACATATGATTAATCGTTTATTGTAAATATACACAAAATATGATCTATAACACTTATGGAAAGACAAAATTGAGGAAATAAGAATTAATAGAACGCATAAAAGGGGGAAAGGTGAAATTGAAAAGGTAAGAATTGCGCCTTACAGAGAGAGAGAGCATCGCTTAAAATCACTTGTACATTGATAACGCTCAAAACTTTATCAGAAAAATGGATTAAGAAAAGGAATTTATCACACTCATTTCTCAATGGTAACTCATTTAATTCGCCTAAAAAGTTAGTTCTTTTGTATACACTATAAAAACTTTAAAAAATTCCAAAAATCAAACCAGCAATGGCTGCCAGTGAAAAATTAAGATGAGTAATCTATCAGAAATTTTTTGCTACGCCAATGTTGCTAAAAATTTAAACTTTTTTCACACTGACCTGCGATGTGACGTATCTTCCGTGCCCCAGCAAGAAAATTATTGGTTCGAAACATTACACACAAGTCGAAGAGAGAAATCCTATACATTTTACAGCTATAAGGGCGTATCGTTCGAGGGCGGTTTTTGGCCTTTTTAGTGACCTAAGAAAAACGGAGTAACTACATTTACTGACACATAGATTTTCACTTAACTTCTAAGTTTTTCTCTAAGTCTGTCACAAAATTTTCGGTGTTGTAACTACCGGGTAGGCTCATTACTGTTGAGGTGTTGAACCGATTTAATACTATGTTTCTACTATTTACATATTTGTTACCCGTGAAAAAAACTTCCTCTCTTTATCGATCTACTGAATACTCTACCGAGAATCATTTCACCGATTACTCTTCGAGACTTAGCCGATGACGTCATCAGTTGTTTGACCAATAAGGTCATTGATTTTGTTTTGGAAAAAATATTTGGTATCTCTTTTAATGTCATCAATGACTTTGTAGGCATGGCCTCCCTCCTCAAAGCAAAGAAAACAAGAAAGAGAACAGAAAAGAAAAGCAAAAGATAGGAGAGAGAAATGGAGGAGTAAAAGAAGATAAACTTTTTTTTAAAAGAAAGAACTACAAGTATGACGACACTGTATTCATCAATATTGTCTGGTAGAAAAATTTTCTCCAAAGTATTTTTGGGCATTGATAGTAAATAATTCTCACGGTGCGGAAAAAAGGAATGTTGAATTAACATCCAGAATATTTAAAGTCTTTTTCAAAAACTCTCAAATGCTTGATTAAACGCTTTGGCTGTTAATTTTATGTCAGGAGGCTGCTACGTTAACACCTGGGGAGGACATTAATAATATTCAGGAATTTTCACGCATACCTTCAAATTCCGGATATTACCTCAACATCCTTCAATTTCCGTGTAGTATTTTGTTTGCTGCATAGGGAACAGCATTCTTAAAACATTGGTAAAATAGTAACCTAATTAATTTCCAAAAATGTCATGATTACCGTAATTGCCGTAAGCCGTGAGTGTTCTGCTCAAAATTTTTAGATGACAAATAATTACCTGATCTTATAATTTCAACGTCAAAGTTAATCAAATAAATTACAAATCCTTTGCGCCGTTGAGGGACGAGTCTCTGCTCTCCCTATACGTTCTCAATTCTATACGAGGATTGATATGGCAATATTCTCCATTTATGGGAGCCTCATCTCCATCTCTATTCTCTTTCCATCTCGCACTTATATCTCTCTTAACTGTAAGAGGGAAGATGTTCTTTCGATGAAGACATCTCGAAAATATCCCCGGGTTGGCAGAAAGCGCAAAGTCAATACGAGCAACACAAAAGACTGAAAAAAGCAACTCGGTTGACAAGCGGCAGATGCTTGCCGGGGTTATTTTTCCCAGGATTCCGGACTGTTTGCTCGGGAGCTTTCGCGATAATGGATTCGTTTCGGAGAGGCAACTCCTGCCCCTCTCCCCCGATTCTCATTAACAATTGACGCGCCGTACAGTCAGACTAATCTACACGACACACGCGAGGATCGCTTGTCTTTCCTTTACTCCTTAATTTGCTAAACTTCATTATCATTAGGCACAGCGAGCTGAACCCTCGAGCCCTGGAATTTTGCGAGGATGCGTCAAGACGTAGGTTTGAAAAATTAAGGACGAGGTTGAATTTTCTTTTCCTTGTTCCAGGTTTTAGCGTTTGCTCCACGAATATAACACACTGGAAAAAAAACACATTGGATCTAGAGCCCAGACTCTTGAAAACGTTGACAAGAAAAAATACTCTTGATTCAATCGGATTTTTGCTTGAATCAAAACGAAATCCGCTTGAATTCAGATCCTTGGTTCTTGATTTAAGCTAGATTTGATTGAATCAAGAGTACTTTTTCTTGTCGATGTTTTTAAGAGTCTGAACTCTAGATCCAATGGGGTTTTTTTCCAGTGCAGCATAGGAATACGAAAAATGATAACAAAGTATAGCTTTGTAGTAACGAGCTCGGTTTAATTAACCTTTAGATGCCCAAGCTAGGGTACGGAAGAGTATTGCCATCTCAATCCTTTCACTATAGAAAAAGTGTGCCGCTCTCTGATTGGTCGGCGATCATGGAGCTCCAAAGTTACCCCAAAGTAAACAAACAAGATGGCGAAAAAGTTCTACAAAGTTCTAGACGTGATTTTGGGTGTAATAGAAATTGTTTTATATCCAACCTCTGAATTGAGTTCGGATCGACCTTTGATGAATGTTTTTGCCGAAAATTAAACTTCTTAAGTGTGATTGTCATTCATTTCTCGGCCGATAATACGTGTTCCTCTGGGCTGGGTTTGTTTACATTTTGCCAACTTTGGAGCTCCATGATAGCCTGAAACTAATGAGCCAATCAGAGAGCGGCCCAGAGATGGCAATACTCTCTCGTATACAGACATTCTAGGCCAAGCCGGGTCAAATTGACCCGAGGCTTGGTATAAACACGTACTCTGCGGGTTCAGACATAGGTCTATGAATGTATCCTAAAAAAAGTAAAGGTATCAAATTTAAAAAAAGAGAGAAAAAGTCGAGTGTTCACACAGTCAACGATAGGAGCGGTGTAATCCGGCCACATTTTTTAACTTTTCTCCGGAATCTGATCGGACCTCATTGGCAGCGGCAGCATAGAGCGAAACATTGCGAATTCACACCGCGCCAAAACGCCTTCAATTTTGCAGACGCAACACGGACATCCATCAAGTACGAATAGTTGTATCTCTGCGCCGTCGTCAACGCGCGTCATTTCCCTTGACGTCCGTCCGTGTTGCGTTGGTTCCGTTCGTCGTTCGTCTCGTTATAAGAGTGGTGCTTCAAGGGTTAAAAGAGTAACACAGCCAAAGATAGAAATCAATATGATTTGCCTCTTCAAGTGTTTTCGGCGTATAAAGCAAAAATCACTCCTCCTTACAGTGCTATGTTTTTTCTCTTGTAAGTTAAATTTTTACAGGGTGACAAAATCTTGAATTTCAAAAATACCTTTCTTTCCTTTAACGTTAAAAGTCTTGCAAGCCTGGGAATTTAGTTTTAAGTATTACAGATTTCCTTATTAAACCTCAGCAGATGCAATGAAAACTAATTATCAGGGTACCTATTTTGACCAGAAAACAAAAAAGTCCTCCCAAATAACTCCATTCTCGGGACCCTAGGAAATCATTTAATTTTGGTTGGAATTTTAGTTAGAAACGAAAAATTATGATGAAAAATGTCTGTATTGATCTATACTTTCAGTTCAGTGCTGTTTCTGAAAATACAGTGATGCAAATTTTACGTTTTTGTCCATTAATGGACATGTTTTAATGCTAAACCTTACAACACTGATTACCAAAACCAGTTTTGTCCCTAAGGTGACTCACTTTTTAGCTGTTGTGTCATATTAAGGTTGCATTTAGCCTCTGATCGATGAAATGTTCAAGTTTTGTTGAAAAAGGCAGAAAACGCCCATTTTAAAGGAGGCTCTCTTCTGACCTTAACTAGTTGTCCGTGACTTTAAATAAAAGGTCTTGGCACCTTCCCCTATTTGTCCTCATTTAGAATTAAAACACATCACCAGACGTGATCAAATGCCTTGGCATAAAGTTAGAACTTCATTGAAAATTCGTAAACTTTCCTCGTGAATTTTCAATACAATTTTACGTAAGGTTCTTGAAATTTATAAAAAAAAATCTAAAAAAAATTGCACACGGGGAATCCGGCAATATTTGATTGCTCATGCGTCGCGACACCTTAGAGTGCAGTATTTCTAAACTTTATTACATCTACTCTGCCGTGCTAGGGAAGATAGCCGTATGAACCTTCAGGCGTTGCCAAATTTCCTCTGGTAAATTGCGAATTCTCAGGAAAATTTTTAAATATTTTGCTTACAATTTTTCATGTAATTCTGTTCACAATTTCACCTAAAGTTTCTAAAAATGTTAAGGATAAATATTCGTAGCTTCCGTCAAAAATAAACATTTTATCGAAGGGAATTTGGCAACTCTCGAACGTTTATACGACGTTCTTCCTTAGCAAGGCAGTATAATGAGACGAACGGAACCAACGCAACACTGACGGACGTCAAGGGAAATGACGCGCTTCAACGACGGCGCAGAGATACAACTATTCGTACTTGATGGATGTCCTTGTTGCGTCCGCAAAATTGAAGGCGTTATGGCGCGAGGTGTGAATTCGCAATGTTCCGCTCTATGCTGCCGCTGCCAATGAGGTCCGATCAGATTCCGGAGAAAAGTTAAAACATGAGGCCGGATTACTCCGCTCCTATCGTTGACTGTTTTAACACTCGACTTTTTCTTTTCTCTTTCTTCTTTCTCGACATTTTATCGAAGGGAATTTGGCAACTATCGAATGTTCTTACGGCGTTTTTCCTTAGCACGGCAGTACTCTTCGCACTGAAAAAAAATTCTCGGCGTTTTTATTACGGTCCGTTGGTACCTTTACTATCTCACCTTTTTTTTTACCAATTATTGGTAACTTTACCAAGACAGACTGATAAGCTTACCTAAAAACCGGTATTTTCAATGTTTTTTTTTCAGGTAAGAATACCCTTTTTATCGGTAATAAATCCCCGGTAACTTTGCCATTTTATCTCGGTAATTCTACCACAGTCGATAAAAATAATTAGCGTTTTTACCAAGGTCCAGTAAAATTACCGAGAAAGTTCAATAATTTTACCGAGATTTCCTGGTAAAATTACCAATTCTATAAACGGTAATTTTACCAAGAAAAAACTGGGATCAAACAGAACCCTGAATTCTTGGTAATTTTACCCTTTTCTTAGTAAATACACCGATATTTTTTTTTTCAGTGCGGTTCCCCTTTAAATGAAGAAAAAAACACTAAGAAGTGGCCCGAAACTGTATTTACAAGGTGGAGAAATGGTGCTGGGTCCACACCATTTTTCCCTATGCAAACTGCCTGAGCTGAACACTCTCCCCCCTCAGTTTTGTACTGGTGCGCATTAGAGCTCAAAAAATTTTGACTCTAATTTTAATTTTTGGAACTCCTTGGCTTTGATTTCCCCGCGAAATGGTGTGGTCCCAGCACCATTTCTCCACCTTGTTTCCCTTTAAATCTACGAGGAATTTCGGTTTGAGAGTGGAACTGACCTGGAGGCGAGGCCGGCTCGAGTCCAATGGCGGGGATGGCAGTAGCGGAGGAGGCGGTGCCGTTCGCGGCGGAGGGGAAGTCGGGCAGCTTCTCGACTTTGTCCTCCTTGAGCGAGATGAAGAGGTGTTTGGCGTCCTTGTCGTACTGGATCATCTTCATCTTGGACGACGCCGTCTGCCCGCCGCTCCCGTTTCCGTTGGCTATGAAGTTCTTGAGCGTCTTGTTCGTGAACGGCTTCATGTACTTGATCTCCGAGCTGAAGTTCTGGAGCTCCTGTTTCTCCTTCTCCCGCTGCTTCTCCCGCTCGGCCGGCGTCGGGACCTTCGGGCACGGCACCGGGATCGGCCGCGTCACCCGGTGACCCGCGTGACCCACCTGCGCGTGGCCTTGGTTCTTCTGACTCGCCGCTTGGGGTTGAGCCTGGGGTTGACCTTGACTTTGACCTTGAGCCGGCCCTGGATAAAAAAAAATTGCTAGCATTACACACGGAGAAAAAAACTTTGTGCGTGGGACCCGAAGTTGAAGTCATATGGATCTCCGAAGTTTTCGGATCACGTATCTAAAAGCTTGAGGTCCACCTGCCGAAGTTCGGGTCAGACATCTGAAGTACTCCGGTACATGGCGAAGTGCCTCGATGTCTGACCCGAACTTCGGCAGCTCGACCTCAAGTTTTCGGATGCGTGATTAGAAAACTTCAGAGATCCATATTACCTCAACTTCGGGTCCCATGCACGAAGTTTTTTCCTCCGTGTCAATTTTTCATCGAATTAAAGTATTGTACTTCGCGTGCAATATTGCAAGACATTTTAGAAATTTATGAGAGATATTCCAAAATGTGTTGCAACTGAAGAAATTCCAACTTAAAAGTTGAAGCTACTAGAAAGGAGGAGGAGAATGAAGAGATTCAGCTAATATCGTCCGGGTGTATACATTTATGGCTATTGAATGTAGGTTTGCTTTTAATATTCCACAAATGCAAAAATCTTACATTTAAGCATATTTGCGTTTCACTCTGGGTTGCATGCTTTAGCTTCAGACAAATATGAAATACTTCACTATGCTTTGTAAAGCATGAATGTATTACTGACATGTCCGATGTCATGTCAAATTTTCCTTTTAAATAAGACAACCAGATTTGCGGGGTATGTCAAAAGAAGGAAGGGAAACAACAAATCTCAAAATCATGAGTTAATGACCAACGAAGCGAGCTGGCCCCAAAGAGGCACCCATCTCCGTTGACGTCACTGGCGCTTTATTATTCTCATTCACTCTTACGGCCAGAAAACTGCGCGAGCAAGCCCCATATTCCTCACCTGCACATACATCTGTTTGATAGAAATACGTCCATTTAGAAACTTCTGGCAGAAAGGATTACCTTGAGGAGGCGGCACGCCGTTGGCCGACTCGGTGGAGGTGCCGTAAAGAGAAACAAACTTGACGAGATCACTATTCTCGAACTTAGGCGGAGCCCTGGAGGCGGCGGCGGCGGCGGTGTGGGCGGCGAAGGCCTCGGCGCTGTTGTCGACGGAGTCCTCGCTGAAGAGGGAGACGAAGCGCTGGGTCTTGGGGTCGTCGATCTTGGGCGTGACGCTGCGGTGCCGCCGGTGCTCCTTCTCCTCCTTGCGGGCCTGCCGCTCCCTCGTGTCCGCGCTCCCGGCCGAGTGACTCCGCCCGACCCAGTTGGACTTCATCACCACCAGCTTGTTCTCGGCGGCGGCCTCGGGTGGCTTCGCGGGGGGTGCTGTTGCTGGAGCTGGGTTGGCGAGGGGTTTCGGGCCGCAGAACGAGGTCTCCACCAGCATCCGGTGCGGCGAGGAACCGCGCGAGGCCTTCGAGAGGTTCGACATGGCGCTCAGGTGCGAAGCGTTTGAGTAGTGCGATGCGGCCGAGTAGTGGGAACCTGCGGATAGAGAGTTTAGGACGGTGATGTTAGTGAATGACGTCATGCACGAACAGCGCACCTAGTAGGTATACCTACATAGCGTGGACAGCTCGCTTTATGAAGGGCTTAGGGCCCGAAAGGGATCCTTATCCTAGCGGCCGTCCATCAATGACGTTACCAATTTTTTTTTCAATTTTTTGAACCCTCCCTCCTTCACCATATCCAACAGTCATTGACTGCTGGACCCATCTTAACAATTATGCCATCCTTAGTGTACCCCCCCTCCCCTCCTCCCTTTTGAGGAAAACGCAGAAAATCGATAAAAATTGGTAGATACACTCAAATTTCAAGCAAGCATTTTCAGCCTTTTTGCCTTTAGGAAAGCTTACGTCATTCTTGGCTTGATCTCTCTTCCCTTCCAGTCGCCCACCGTCATTCACCGCTAACCCCCCCCTCCCACTCTCCTACTTGGGTGACGTAATTTATGGCCGGACTCCTAATGCTCAACAGCCAAGTTAAAGGTACAGTAAGGACGCGGGAACGTCAAAGTTTCCTCCGTTTCCGAGATACTTAGTGACGGATCTCCAGTTGCCGCTGCTTAAGGCAACAATTTCCATTGCTATCCACGATTTTTCGACTCTTCACGGCATATAATCTCTTTCCAATTCCTGCAATAATGAGGTGTGGCCAAGTTTTTTTAATGCTAAGGGTTGCAACTCATTTGAGCTTGTAAGGATACCGGAGCAAGAACTTTCCTTTCCCAGAAATTTCCAGCAGTGTTTCCGTTCAAGTTTTCCTTTCGGGAATGGGTATATTTCGAAGAAGGAAAAGGCCCTGTAGGATGTTCCACTTTCATCTGAATTCACTTCCCCTATGAGGCTTTTATAGGATCCTAGGTGTTAATACTAAAGCCTGTTCGTAAAAAAATAAAAGCGTGTAAGTACAGCAATTTCTCTAGATTTTGAGGCTTGAATCAAAATACGAACCATTTCATGACCCCTTAACAATGGTGTAAATAAAGAGCCGTATCTTAAATACCACTGGGAGGCGTTTTTCCTCCAAGCCACACGGGTTAACAACATCACTCACATTTGCTTGCAAAAAAAAAAATCGCCTCTCCGCTACCTGTGTGTGAGCTTTTACAGTCGTTAAATGTAATCCTACCGTTTATTTGCTGTACAGAGAAAGCCCTAACATCTCGACTTGCACTTTGAAGGGTCTCTGCAATAAACTTCTCGTATAGAGCAACCCTAGTTGCTGCCAATCAGGAAGGCAATTGCGTCCGCGTAACGCGAACCTGTCGACAAATTGGAGCGGAAAGTTAGCAGACCTGCCCGGCCGCTAATGAGAACCCGATATCAACCCTGGTATCAGCGTCCCCGGTTTCTCCTGAAATTCAACTGTTTTGTACTTCCTTTCGAGGTGAAATAGGGGCAATATGGCAAAGACTCCTCTTATTTGAGAGTGTGATCAAAAGGCGCAATGTTGTCCGTGCCCTTTCGCGGAATAAAGCAACTTTACTGGCCAGCGCGGTGATTGTTTGAAAGATTTCTGGTCAAATTATCTTTTTGCGGTCACATTTGAGGGACTCGAATAACACGGCGCATGAGTGCAGTTTTTGCTATTTCGAGAAATACATGTTTGAAGTTTCAAAATTACATGGATCTTTATGGTGGAAAGAGAGTTCAAACTGACTTTTTGATGCTTAAAAATTGGAATGTAGGAGCGAATTTTTCATAGAATCTACATTAAAACTAGTTTTACTTGAAATCATTTTTAACACATTTTTTTCAGAAACTGCACTTGTGCGCCTTGTCCTCCAAGCCCCTCAGTTAAGAATTTATCACAGTATAGAAAACCACCTCCTTCGCAATTTTTCCTCAGAATGAGGAAAATATATGTAATCTCAATGAATCGCATACTTACAATGAATACATTACTATTTGTGACGATGGAATTTTCCTTCTCGTAATGACAGTTATCACAACTGAAAAAATCCTATTGTAACAAGGAAACTCTCATTGTTGTCTCACTTTAAGTAAAAATTCACTCCCTTGATGCAACCATCAACTGTTTAGGGAAAAGGTCTCTTGTGGTTAAGTATCTGATTTCTGTGGTACGTCCGTAGAAGAAAAACACCCTAAACCGAGGAAACCGAAAAACGCTTTGAAGTTGCCCTTTTGTCAAGAGGAACATATAAACGAAATTTTAGCACTAGAAATGCGACAAAAATTTCAAACCAAACAGGAATCATAAAGGTTTGAAGTCTTCGGTCCAAAAACTGAGGCCTTGAGGCAAGTAAAGTTTTACGTCTTAATCCGCCATAATCGGGCTTTAAAATTGTTGGAGGTTGACATATGTTATTATTTGACAGAATGACCTTAATCGCTTACAACGACTTTTCCTCTCTGATATTGGAGAGATTTTTTCACGAAAACCTTGTGGAAGAGCTTCTTCATCCAACTCGACGAAAATCGCTAAAAAATATTCCACCGTGCATTAAACTTTCTTGCCCTATAGACATTCACATTTTATAAATTGTTTTTTGCGTGAAAACTGAAAATAGAAGAAGGTAAGCGCTGCCGTGCTAAGGAAGAACGCCGTATGAGCCTTCGAGAGTTGCCAAATTCCCTTCGATAAAATGCTTATTCTTGAGGATAGTTACGAATATTTTTCTATCACATTTTCAGAATCTTTAGGTGAAATTGCGAACAAAATTATCTGAAAAATTGGGAGGAAAATATTCATAAGTTTATTAGGAAATTCACATTTTATTAAAGGAAATTTTGCAACGCCTGATGGTTCATGCGGTGTTTTTCCTATGCACGGCAGAGCGTAGGTAGCACTGCTGTCTGATATACGAGAGAATGATCAAAAGACGCCCTGCTGCTCGCGTGCCTTTGAGCAGCGAAGTTTCAGCTTTTCCGGATGGCAATATTCTGCGTGGCGGTCTCAAAGGTTGGCTTTTATTTTCCTCTCGAGAGGATCTGCCGGGCAGATTCTTCTTTGAAGATTCTACGTTGATGAATAGACGTAAGTCCACTCTACCGATGATAGCTCTGAGAATACACGTGGACCACATGTTGCAGTGAGAGTCCACAGTTAAATTTAACATGTGTCATTAGTTCCTTTATAGGTGCTTTTATACACCAGCCAGGAGCAATGACTCCTCACTGAAAAGTGAAGTCCGAATATTTGAGATTCTTTGATTGAAAATGGATGAATGGATCGTATTCGATACATCGAACATGCAAGATTGTATCGATATCGTTTGGTTCAGCATGAAAACATAGCGTTAAAAGTCAATTGAGTAATCCAAGGGAATGGATTTCTGGTGTTAGTTTTTTGATTCTCATAAGTAGAAAACGGTAATGAAAAGTGAAATTGTTAGGAATTTGCTCATTTTCAGCTTTTCAAACTGAAATCCTGAAATTTTTGTTTGAGGCTGCGTTCTATTGTTTTGAACAAAACGATACATCAAAACACTATCGAATACGATCTATTGGAGACTTACGATGGAAAAGAGGGGTGAGACTCACCTCCTGACGCTGCGGAACCGCCAGAACCGATGGACGACAGTCTGCTTTGCCTCCCGCTTATTGATAGGAATCCGAAGTCCACGCTGCATGTTGAGTCCTTCCTCTCGCTTGGATCGAAGATCTACAGACAAATTAATAAGAGCTTTGAGTTTAGGATACAGAATTAAGATCTAAGAGCCCAATTAACACTACCAAACTTCTCATCCGACATAATTGAACGAAAAATTGGATAAGAGTTGAACCAGGGTGTCTAGTGTCTACCAAAACACGCTGGCCAAAAATCAGTACTTTCACGTACTTTTTCAGTGCATTCCCAAGAAATTCAGTACTTTTTCAATACCTTCAACTGACGAATTTCGAAAAATTTCATACATTTGAATTTCCCGCTCAAATTGCGACAAAATGAAAAAAGTTCCGGATTTTCTTGCAAATTTTCCGCACTTTTTCAGTACCTCCGGACCGCCCTTGAAAAATCAGTACTATTTCACAACTTTCCGGAAATTCCGGATTTGTAGACACCCTGGTTGAACGCAAGATAAGTTGATTAAACCGTTGCAGTGTGATATCTTCATCAACCTTAGGTTCGCGAAGATACAGCATCGGCTAATGCGGATCGGAAGATTTCGTTCCAACTCTCTGTCCAAATTTCCATCCAAGTGGCTGCGCCAAAAAGTTGAATGTGACGTTAAATTCAAGTTTCCGTTCAACTTTTCATCAAATTGTCGTTTTCTCGCGTTGGTATCACATTACTGTTCAACTTTTCATTTGACAAGTTGCATTCAAAAGTTGAATGAAAATTTTGATGGTGTGAATTAAGCATAACAGGTCATCGAAAAATTCAAAAGGGGGACATCTTGAGGTGGAAAAAGTAAAAGAATCAAATTCATTATTTTCCCTAGAAGTTTTGTTACCTAATTTCCGGCTGATTCCTGGGATCTAAAAGGTATATGGTCCCGATTTTTTCAATTTTTTTACACACCTTTCCCCATACGTAGATACGTTCAATATCAAATTCATGAAACAAAGGCGTTATAGATCGTATTCGATACATGAAACGGGTGAGATTGTATCGATATCGATTGATTCAAAACATAAACTGGGCCTCAAAAGTCAATGGAGTAATCTGACGGAACGGGTTTTTTGCGATAGATTTTTGATTCGCATGAGTACTAATTGGTCAAGAGGAGTGAAATTGCTACGAAATTTCTCATTTTCAGCTTTTCTGGCCATGCAATATCTTAAAATCTCGGTTTGAGATTATGCTCTATTGTTTTGGACCAAACGATACATCGAATCACTATCGAATACGATCCATTAGTTTTCTTTTACGAGGCGGAGTACTATCTCATAGTGCTCACGCAGGTTTTAAAGTTCCACTTCTCAAGAACTACTGCCCGGATAATTTTTTTTTCTAGCCTACTCATAAACTGAAAGCGAAGTGATAGTATGCGTACCCTCCATACCCTTCCCCTCGGTATCGATTCCTCCTCTTCTAAATTCAGTCAGTCAACGCCACTAGCTAATACCATATTAAAGTAGGCGCCACGGCTGTCTGCGAGCGAAAAAAAACCGGACTCTCCCCCCGCAGGGGGAGGGGGGTTTGGAAAATCACGGCGCGGGAAACCTCATTAGCGGCGTTTATTCGAAACGGTGAACGGGCAAGAATAATCTTCGCACGCTCATCGAGCTTCGGATGAGGAGACTGGCTCAATATTGGCGCAAGATTTCATTAGCGCGCGACAGCTTTGAGGGTGCAGCTCGGCCGCCTGACACCGAAATTAAATTTACCCTCGGAAAATCGGTGTGCCATCGTGCCGCCGACACCCGCGCCCGGTGAGTAATTTCATTCTGCTGACGAATCGGCAGGGGAGGGGGGGNCCCCCCCCCCCCCCGGCCCACTTCGTCAACCCCCATCACTTTCCGATGATCCCTTTGAAGAGAGGAGCTCCATTCTTCGGGGCTACGCACAAGGTCAGTGGGGCAGTTAGGGCTGCATCCAAGCAGTGTCGACCTGGCTCGAAAGTTCTCGAGGCGCCGAAGACATAATATTTCTACAATATTGGGAAAATATTGTCAGTATTGTCGCAATATTTTGATAATATTTTAATCAAAATTATTTTTTAAAAAATATTTAAAGAATCTTTATTTAGTATTTGTAAAAATAATATGTTTGCCTAAAATATTATAAAAATATTTTCATAGTATTGGCACAGTATTGGCACAGTATTTTGAAGTATTGGCACAGTTTTTATGCCAAAAGGAAATATGGTGTACACTTTTAACATTGGCTCAATATTTAACCAATATTGGCCCAAGGTTTGCATAAATATCAAAACAATATTGTTTAAAGATTGGCTAAATATTTCTGTATTATCTGGGATACGTTTTCGGGGGCCCCTTCCTGGTCGAGCGACCGTGAATTCCTAAAATTCGTGATCCGCGGATTGCATAAGGCCGGTACGTACGAGCTTCAAATATAGGTATTCAAATACATCGCAAACAAGAATAAGACGGTAAATTGAAAAAAAAGAAAAATCGAGTGCCAGCACAGCCGAATATAGGAGAGACGTATTTGGGCCTCGTTTTTAAGCGTGCCAGTAGGGCTCGCTTTTTGAAATCACTCGGATGTACCATAGTACAAGCACACCGATCAACCAATGCTATTCAACGGGCCGTCCAAATATTTTTTTCCTCGGACCCGTTTTCTTGTCTTTGAACCATTATACTGTCAAGCCCTGATGGTCTCTTACCAAAAAACCGAATGAACTGCTAATTGGGAACCCTTGAGAACATTTTCCTGTCAAAACCGTATTATTTCATTTGACAAAAACCTCATAGAAGCTTTCTTACGCTCGGAGGACTCAACTCTAGAACCTTCTTTCCCGCCAAAACTGTTTAGCCAATGAGCGTCTTGCACTGCAAGTGCAATCTGTGATGAGCCTCGTGACTCTTTATACCATGTACTAACCGTGGCCCCTGCAGAAATCCACTCAAACCACTGCAGTTATGTCCCGATATAGCTTTGGGTGTCAGGTTTCGAGCAAGGCAATAAAATACGGCGTGGAGAGGGTCGCCTCGTCGAAACTATTATCTTCCACGCCCGATTAACCATTCACCGTGACGCCAGGATCCACCAAATTTTCACAAAAATTGTTTTCCGTCTATTTAGCGAGTTTTTCCTTACTTTCCGTTAAAGTACAAATAAAAAGAGACCTCATTTGTAAAAATCGGCCGAATAGGAGAGAAGTTACAGTTCGAAATCCAAAGAGATTAACTCAACGCGATTTCGATGCACGGCAGTTCGCCCAAATCACGGTCGTGCGAAATGCCGCATATCAGCTTAAAATCAAGATAATTGGACGGAATCTTTAAATCAATTTACATTCAACGTTCATGAATCAATATTTTCTCCCAAATTTAGCAAAAAGTACCAATTGATGCAAATAACAAAGACGTGAAAATAGTAGGTATGTGTCCAACATTTTAGTTATTCGGCACGCTTTTCCAACATATTCATGTTGGATTTTTTTGCTTGTTTTATTTTCTCCCAAATCTACACAGTGACAACTGATTGGTGCCGTAGAGTGCAATATTGCGAGTTCCTGCCTTGCGCCATACGCCTTCAATTTTGCAGAAGCGACACGAACACGGAGCTCGAATATTAAGGCGTACGACAGTGCGGTTAGCACGAAACGCGTACTAGCGCCTACAAGACTGCATGGATACTTCATGCATTGCGCTTTCACCGCGGAGGATACTTCATGCATTGCGCTTTCACCGCGGAGGATACTTCACGCATTGTACGGCCGTCACGGTGCGTACGCGCAATGTGTGTAGCCGTATCCCCCATTTCGAGTGATTTCGAACTGACCTCATTAGGAAACTTTGATTCCTATTCGGGACCTTGCAACTTTTCGCATTTTGAACACCTTATTTTTTATGTTTCTTATTCCAAGGAAACCTTTAACGTATACTTTTTGGTCACGATCAGTAAAAATTAAGAACACGCTGCCAAAATTTCGAAGCTGCGTGTCAAATCTCAAAAATTGTATGGGTGATCCTTAACTTCGGAATTACCCTGTGAAATAATCCTTATAGGAAACAAATTAAAATCGCGTTGATGAAATAAAAAACTAACGCAATTCTTTTTGATGTTGTTTGAAACCTCCTTTAACTTGCTGTATCATTGAATGCTCTTCTTGAGCATTGAATCCTTGCATACTTTGACGCACTTTAAAGAGGATTTTGAATCAAGTAGATTTCAAGGAGCGTTTCATTCCGCCCGGACTCTCAACTTCCCGAAAGCTTCCAAAGTTTTACTGAGACGATGGCTTCGTGACCTTCCTTATTCAGGGAGTTTATTCTCAACTCCATCGACCAATCTTCGTGGATACTCGTTGCTGATTGGCCAGGATGTATCCACCTTTATACATCACACCGTCAACCAATCAAAAGTAAAGAAGATCATGTCATTTGGAAGTGTTCACCCTTAACATTTCATCCTCTGTGGCACCACACAATCAATGTCATATTCTGTAGCACCCATTCTTGACTTAAGGAAACTTGGTGCGCCTTCGTATGTTTGCGTATGCAACAGTGAGGACAGAAGGGGAGCCGCTGGACATTAATGAAATACTAGCAAGGATGTTTAATTCAATGCTCTATCCATTTGATTAGTTTAGAAAGGGACCCCAATATGTTTGTTCATGATCAACTTTTGCGTTCGTAAAAGGAGCTGAAGTTCATGAGATAGGTGTAAAAAATCTTTACTTCACTACACAAAACAATTTAATCGATTCCATGTCAATCGTTTGAAAGCATTATGCTGCGCACTTTATTGCATACAATGAGGAAAAAAACAATTCAGAACTTTTTAAGAAAGATTGATAACAAATTGGGAAACAGATGTTGGTTTGAAGTTGAGGGTTTTTCAGCTCTTTCCGGTCAAACCTGATTACCGGCAATTTAAAAAAAGTGCCAATGAGCTCGGTCAATTTGAAAATGCATGATGGACGACGGAGACCCTCCGTTTTGGCGTGTAGTTTAGACATGTCTGATGTTCTGACTTTGAATTTTTGGTAATACTCGCTGATTTTGCCCATAAAACTTTACGAGCACAGCTGAAAGAGGAAATTGGTTTGCCTTAACTCCAGGCTCGCGAGAATAATAGTTAGAAACCTCGATTATACAAACTGAATAGTTCAGTAGACGTTCACAGCTTCAGAAGAGCGAGCACCGCTGCGCACTAACCACTTTAATTGACAGAAGTGAACTTCAATTTGGTTAACCAAAAGTTCAGTTCCACAGATCACAGACCAAAGGTTCAAATCAGCAAAACGAAGAAATATGGTTAAAATAAATATTGCTTTGTATCCTTAATAGGTTTTTCTAAAAGTTTTTCTAAGTGCACAAGTTTTCCAGTCCGGGGAACTGAGACCGTCAACACCCGCGACTGTCCTCTGAACTGAAAAGCGTCAGCTGAGAAGTTCGGTTCGCACAGCCGCCGTTTATTCTATTCATGCACGAGAAGAATCAGATCATCAGATTCACCGCGAGTCATGATTCTGAATATCAATTTTGGGACGTCTACCCGAGGAAATTGCAGCAGTAAAATGTTTGCCGCTCCTTCAACCCTGTCGCAATCCCCTCAGCGCAGCGCGTCATGTTTACTCGGTTTAGATTTCCACTTTCAGAACAGCTGCCACCCTAATTCCGCGCCGGTGCCGGTGCCGCTGGTCGCACCTCCAGTGAATTAATTTAAACGATATTTTTTCCCGAGCGTTTTTATCAAAGTTGTCAAGTCTGTCGCTAAATGACAAAATCTTATGTGAGTAGATCTGTTATTATAATTGCCCCAGCACATAAGATATTACTTTTATTTGGTAGTGTAGGTCAATTGAAGGACATTTGCCAAGATTTGTCGAAGTTTTGCCTCCCTCCATAAAAAAAGAGAAATATATATACGATTTATTTTTCAAAACTTTTACGAGTAACATGATAGTGTAAATACGATATAATACTTAGCGACAGCTACAATATAAAAATATTGTAAAAAAGAAATCTGCCACCAAGTAGTTCCTTCTTCTGCTGAAATTCAAATGAATTGCTTCCTTTGAATTTAACGTAACAAATAAATAAATAAAACGAAACAAAATTAAATAAAACGCGGCACAAAATAAAGGAGGGCAAAATAACCGGGGACGAGAAGAAATTGAAATTATAAAGCACGATGAGAAACGAATAGGGCAGATCAACGCTGGTAGGAGTAGGTGCGTAAATTAGGAGCCATTCATAAAATACTTGATGCTAATTTTTTTTTTTTTTTTTTTTTTTTTTTTTTTTTTTTTTATAGATTTTGACCCTTCTCCGCTCCCATAACGGTCAAATCGTTGCAAACGGTGAAAATGTAAGCTTTATTCCCGTTTGTGATATTGTGAAGGCCTAAAATACGGGAACCAATCAGAAATGGATTCACATTGTCTTGACTCTCAGTATAAAGGGACTCTATTTCAACCCAATTCTTGGCAACATCGGGAGAATATTTTCCGCAACTCCGGATGCGCCCTTGTTTTGATTAGCGCTTATCGGCGAGCGTTCTTATTAATCGTTTTATTGAGTGTTTATCCAGTCGACGTTGACCTGCTGGTCGATTGTTGAATCGCTATTGGACCACTTTGATCGATAAACCCTCACCTTGACTATAGTTTTTATCGATTACCAGATTCAGGCGCTGGCTCATTCGTTGCGAACCGATTTCACGATTGCTCGCCGAAGGAGTCCTCCCTGAAACGATTTGCCCCTAGTTTTTCCACGCCCAGCTCTATCAATGTTTATACACGAATAAGAACACTGCCGCGCTTAGAAAAAATGCCACATAACTTTCACACGCTGTCAAATTGTCTTTGTTAGGACACGAGTTTTCTGAGAAACTTGAGAATATACCTCTTTTGATTTTTCGCAGGACATCATTCGCAATTGAATCTAAAAATCCGAATAATTCAAGGAATGACATTCAAAACTTTTCCAAAGAAATGAATACTTTGTCCTGGGAAGTTTGGCAACATTTAAATGACATACGGCGTTTTTTCTTTGCACAGTAGTGGACTATTATGAACTGAGTTCACAAAAAATAGTTTTTTTCGTTTTTCTTACAGTCTGCCATCAGTGTTTGATTTCTGTCTCACGGTTAGATTTTGGATGAAACTCGTAATATCTTACCGCTTGTTGAGTTTGTAATGTTGATCGCCTTCTTTTAATTTCGTTCGGATCTTGAAAATCTAGTTCCTCCGTGCTGCTACGTAATTCGGCCGCCATCTCCTCCGAAAAGCCAAGTCCTAGTTTTACCCCGTTGGATCCGTCCCCTGATTTCTCTGCAAGAAAAAAGAAACAATTGCTTTAAGAGTTTTTGAAAACCATTAACATTTTTGAGAAATCCTTTTAAAAACTCTCAACCTTCAAAAATGTCACAATGTACTATTTTGGTTTGAAAAATAGTAAAACATTGCAAAATATCCCTGAATAAGTAGCGCGCGTGAACACGTCAAAATCATTAGGCATCCACTTGCATTATCCAAATAATTCATATCAAATTGAAGGCGCAATGACGCGAGGCAAGTACGCGCAATTTTCCACTCTATGCTGCCAAGGAAGTGTCGCTTTCCAAAAGAAAAGTTTAAAAAAACGAGGCCTGAATAAGACTCCAATCTTTGGCTAAGTTGCTCACGTTGCATTTGAAGCATCTTTACGAATAAAACGAACGGAAAAACACAATTTAAAAGTAGAGTAAGGGCAAGGACACGCGTCGATGACGACGCAGAGATACAACTATTCGCACTTGATGGATGTCCGTGTTGCGTCTGCAAAATTGAAGGCGCTATGACGCGAGGCATGAGCTTGCAATTCTCCACTCTATGCTGCTAATGAGGTGTCGCTGAGACTCGGGAGAAAAGTTAAAAGAAGGGGCCAGAATATGTCTGTCCTTTCACTGTTTTCAGATTGATAGGTTTAATTTTATTTATTTATTTATTTTTTTTTATTTTTTTATTTTTTTATTTTTTATCTATATTTACAGGACCTACATCTACAACTCGTCTGAGCCGATCTCCTTATAGAACTTGCGGGGCACGTGTTTTAAGCAAGCTTCGGGTCAATTTGACCCGGCACGGGCATCCAAGGGTTAATAAAGTATTTTGGATTTTTACAATTAGGTATCAAACTTTCATGACCAAGGCAATGGAAAAAAGCTGAACTAGAATTTTCGATTTTTCGACTTTAACCATCGATATGCAAGTTGCACCTGACGTTCCAAACGCAATTTCACATAAAATTATTTTCGTGTTCGGAGCCTACGGTAAATTTCTCAGTGTTGATTCTCAAAAGATGGCAAAATTGAGCTTCGATCATTTAAATTCATATGAGATAATCATCAATATCTAAAAATCTAGGTGAGGTAGGCTGCTTCACGGAACATCGATTACTTTAATCAAAGTGCGTTAAATTGAAGGAAAACATTGTCGCCAATTTTCGAGAATCGCCTGTGAAAGTTGGCAAGAATGGTTTGCAACCAGGTGTGAGTTGTGACGGTAAGTATTGATTTAGCTAGTCTCATATTACCCGCCACTGGCTTCCCTGCAATTTTCCCCAAGTCGAAAACGCACTTTTAATTGTTCACGAGAGGATTAGCGTCCCGCCACCCCTGTCGTACTTCGCAAAAATTGCGTAACTTGCCTCGCGAGAGAGGTTCACCGTAGGTTATTAGAAATTCGATTTGGCACGGTTCAAATCCCTCGGTTGTTCGCCACCGGAAGCTAATGGTGATTGAACTTCTTAATTTAGAACATGATGCTTGAAGGTTTTCGCGATTGGAGGGCTTTCTGCATCTTCATTCTATTCTCGACTGATGGGATACGCACCTACTTCATTACTCCATGAATCGGATTCCACCGAACGGAACCTAATTGGCTCGTTTTTAAGACCATGCACGATGGGTTCAAGGGTCAATGACCCTCTTGAAATAAACTAATTCCAAGCGAACAAAATTATAGAATTGTTTTACGTGCGACTTTCTTGAAATATCTACCGATCATGAACAATCTCTGTGGAAGCCACTGCTCAAAAAGTAAAAGAAAGTTTTCTTGCGGGCCGATTGTTGAATTATCATTGATATACCTTTGAGCCATAAAGGAACCATATTTTGCAATAAAACATATTTGTGGTTCGCCCTTTAAATCATCCACCATCATGAGAAAACTATTGGCACACATCGATGGCTAAAAAGCAACACCATGTATCTCAATTGTGGTGTTTCAAAATCTCCGCTCCTAGCTTATCTTTTCGGAGAGAAATGAATTAATTTATAGCTTGAAATTTATACGAACTATTGTACTAAACAACAATCCAGGCGTGGGTAAATTAATTTTGACACAGCCGTTTACATCTCCCTGCAGGCACGTTGGAAGCTTCAATTTTAATACATCAGTAATTGAAGAGGAAATAAGAGATGAATAATAATATACTTTATTGCAAAAGTGAATTTTGAATGGTGATCTGCAAAATCGAGAGGAATCCATTTTCAAACAATGTTGAATTCGTGGTAACTGCCCTAGCAGAGAAACAAGGAGTAATTTGTCTAATACATAAGCTTGAAGCTTGTTTTTCCTTCAGCATACACATTCTCTACAGAGGAGCATTTCATAAGTGTCGTGACAGTAGGAATTCAAAATCGCTAATAAATGGATCAGGGTAGTTTTTGCAGACCGACAAGCAATTAACCTCTTTATTATTGCATACAATCGAGTTCTAATGATAAATATATTCTTTAGTCTTCTACATATAGTGTAGTGTTAAAGGTGACTCTTTCAAACGAAACCAGGATAGTCCGAGTTCGATTTGTCGCCAGGCAATTAGACTTTCATCATGTTTAAAGCAAGGTTACCAGGAGCTGATCGGTAATGGGCCATTCATAAATTAAATTTTGCTAAAAATAAGATATTTAGGCTCGTTTTCTTATTCTCGTCGCAATTATCGGTCACACAGCTTAAGCTCGCTTTAAAATATCATTTCACGTAGGTCAGAATTGACCTGAAAATTTACGTCACGCTGATCTTTACTCCTCTCTCTCAAAAATAAAAAATATTAAGAAAACCCCATACCTCATCAAACCTCATACGACACACAGAGGTTGGTAGTTTGGTAAGACTACGCAAAAGCAAAAGCGCAAGCGCAAGCTTGCTACGCAAAGCGTAGGATTAGCCCTTGAGGGCTATTTGAAGCAGTAAAAAAAAAAAAAAAAAAAAAAAAAAAAAAAAACACGCATGATGAAAAAAAAACATCTACAACCAAGGCGCTTCGAGTATGCTGAATTACTTTTTAAGTGGGAGAGTATGGAGAGTATAAGAACAAGCATTGAAAACATCTATGACTATTCATTTCAGCAGCAATAACATTCTTGATTGAATTGAAATTCCACCCCTTGGTAGAAGAAAATGGGGAAAATCTATTTAGCGTTACGTCACGCAATTGCCTAAGCCCCTCGTTAAGGTATGACGTAATTTATGGACGGCTACTGGGTAATGAAGGGGGGGGGGGGCTACGCGTAAGATTAGGTCCTAGACTGGCATGCTAAGGAAGAACGCCGTATGAACCTTCAGACGCTGCCACGTTTCCTTAAATAAAAACCTAATTACTGGAAACATCGTTAATATTTTTCCTCAGTTTGTTCAGACAATTTTGCTCGCAATTTATCTAGAACGTCTGCAAATTTCAAGTTAAAATACGCATAACTTTCTTTAAAAATATACATGTTTTATCCGGGGCAATTTAGCAACTCTCGAATGAGCATATGACGTTCTTCCTTAGCACGGCGGTAGAGGCTGCTTAGAGTGCGGTCGAAACAAATAATAAAAACAACTAACGCGTAAGTTGCTCATTTATTTTACTACCGTGATAATAAGGAAAACTTGCGCTCACATTCCTCATTATTTCATCGCGGGCGAATTTTAAAATTTATGAGAGTTTAACGTGCCCCTCGATCGGGGGAGGCGATTGGTGACCGTAACCTTTTACGTCACGCTACGCGGCGCGTCATTCTGAGGGAAGATCAACAAAACGGGGTCTTTAGAGCCATGAACTATTCTCGTCTTTACAAAGGTTTATGACTCGTTGATGACAAGAGTCAATTCAAAAAAAGACTGCCGAGTGGCCTGTTTGAATTATGACGGCGGAAGGGTAGTATCGATCTCAGCGTCTAGTAAAGGGGTAAGAAAGAAGAAATATACGCTGCCGAATCGCATTTAATAGTCCGTAGAAATTAATTTAAGTCTTCTTATGTGTGATTTGTTATGATGCACCAAAGGGCAACGCCGCCAGAGCGACGCAGAGCATGCAAGCATGGTGGGGGCACCCATCATTTCACAGATTTTGCAAAGTCCTGTACTTTCAAACCGCAGTCTAAAGTTACGGATAGGCTCATTGGGGAAAAAAACACATTGGATCTAGAGTCCAGACTCTTGGAAACATTGACAAGAAAAAATACTCTTGGGCCAATCGGATTTTTGCTTGAATCAAAACAAAATCTGCTTAAATTAAGAGGCTTGTTTTTTTATTTAAGCTAGATTCTGATTGAATCAAGAGTACTTTTTCTTGTCGATGTTTTTAAGAGTCTGAACTCTAGATCCAATGTGTTTTTTTTCCAGTGTTTGCCATAGACAGATTTAGTGGCTACGTCATTCGATATAATATCGGACTCTTGGTTCAAACCAAAACAAACTAACATGACCCCATGAGCGAACTCTTCATAAGTAAATTGTGCTAATTTATTAAAGTTTAGTTATTGACCGGTCATAAATCAACTTAAGACTCATTAATTACGAGAACTTTCGATTGTAAGAAACACTTGGACGCATTTTACCACCATGGTGCAAAGGGCGCGAACGAGCGCGAATCAGAAACAATGTTCTGTGTTTGTTTTTTGAAACAAGGATATTATATCGAATGACCCAGCCACTAAATCAGTCTATTGGTATCTGACAGCATCGATAATCGAATTTAAGCCTTCCCCAAGAAAATTTGCTATGTCGAATATGATGTTTACTAAAAACCCCTAAAAGTTAGTATGTAATTTTCATTGCGGAACCCTATGCTTTCATAGTTATAGATACTCTTTTCTTAATAAAAAGATTCATCGAGAAAGAAAAAAAACCCTCTTTTTGCCTTTAAAAATAGGAAAAATATTTTGAGCCTTAAAATTGATTGTCCGATTTTCTTTTAAGTCCTCGGAAATTCCTTAATTTTCCAAAGATAACTATTCAAACACAGATGTCACGTGGGGTTGCCTACTTATCGTTCTGAAGGTGTTTACTACGATCATGTT